GGCCACGAGGGACTTCCTCCGCGGTCCTCCTCCACGCCGCCGCCCCAGCTCCTGGCGCTCGCTCGCCCGCTCTCTCCTCTGGGCCGGATGCCCAACCCCCCGGGGGGCACCGGGAAAGTCGCTGTGCCTGGGACAAAGACGCTCTCAAACTGGACGGTGTCATTCAGCATCCTCCGCGAGATCTGGGGTGGCCCCAGAAATGCACGGGTCCCACCTGTCCACGCAGGTGATGCTGAAGCCTCGGCGGTGGTCCGAGTCACCTCTGTCCTCGTCCCTAGCGGGCCGCGGCCACTGACTCGCTTCTGACCCTGTAAGCTCCGCCAAGAGAAACCTAAAAGCTTGAGGAAGTTGTGTTTCTTGCTGAACGGGACAGAATGGGGAGAGCTCCCGGAGGAGCCCAGCTGCTCTAGGGGAGCCTGCTCCTGGAAGCGCTGTGTGCTCAATGTCTCCACTCCCTAGCACTCTGGTAAGAAAGAGGCCTCGGTTTCCTCGTTCAGTTCGGGTGATCGCTCAGCACCAGAGTATCCTGGCTCTGTGCATGTATTTACCTCATTTCCGAAGACAATTAGGGAGCGCCTCCTGAGTGCAGGTTTTAGGGAAGTGGAAAAGCTAGAGCCCAGACACCAAGACAGCAGGGAATTTCCAGCTTCCCGCCCGCCCCCCGCCCCCGTCTGGGGTTTTCAGTTGCTTCCTACAGCGGTGCACAGTCCAAACCCATGTGGCACTCATGCTAGAGCGGTGAAAAGGGACCCCAGGAATTCGGAAGAAGTCTGAGCTGGAAATCTCATGAGTTTCTCAGATTGGTGGCATTGCACCCAGAGTCTAGACCTGGCTAGAATGTGAGTGAATGCTCCGTCCATAGCTTAGAGGGTTAACAGGGTCCACGAGAAATGGTTACAGTCAATTTTTAGACAGTTTGTGGAATGTCATAGCAGAAGCATGTTTCTGTCATCACAGGAATCCTGCAGGCTTTTGTTCCTTGTCCCACCCTGCCACCTGCCTCTTTCTGTTTCCCTGCTAAGCCTGCCCTTCCAATTGGCCAGTTTTATCAGACATTTCTCAAGATCCAAGTCACGATATGCATCAAGTTTCCAGAAAAGGACAAGAGGGCTGTAAGAAGTAGGAATGTGAGTCAAAGGAGCATTCAAATCCCTGCTCTCTGCTAACTAGCTAGGTGATCTGAGGAACATTTTTTTTTAACCTATTATTGTTCCCCTAGGTTAAGTGGTGATAAAGCTATTCATCCCAATTGAGAAGAGAGAGGGGGAAATGTACACAAAAATATGCCTTGCCTGACACCCAGTAGATCTACAGCAAAGGTCACTGCACTTCCTCTATTTATTTTGCTGCATTATGCCCTTGCATGCTAGAGAAGATACTGAAACTAGTCATTTATAACCACTATACTTGAAGCAGAAAGACCCCTTACCAAAAATAACATCTCTCTGAGGGAGGGCATTTTTTTAAGGAACCAAAATGGCAAAAATGATGCATATTTATAAACAGAAGCAATAACTTTCTTAGGAGAAAGAACAGTCCAAAATTTGGTCCTCTCAACCAAGCCCCCATGCCATGTAAGTCAGCTGACTTAATTATCCAGAGATATTTTCTTTCTGGTCTTAATAGCGCGTGAACTTCTCTTCCCTGGTGCTCTCCCTTTACCATCTCACTTTCTTCACTACCAATCCCCCTTCTTTTTCATCCCTGTATCCTTAATACTGAGCAGTTTTTCATGTTCACTGCAAACAAAAGGCACTAATGACAGTGATGAAATTGTCATAACTGAACTGCTGGATCCTGTCACTAAACACTACTGCCTTGCTGTAATCATCACAACGAACAGAAAACAAATAGCAACCCATTTGTGCTTAGCCCATAGTGATCCCTCGTGAATAATTACATTTTCCACCCTCAGAGGATTTAAATGACTCTGGGCTCAAGCTGCTCCTGATAATAGATAAAACTCCAGAGTATCCAAAAGGTTCATAATGTTCTCTTACTTGCTTTTCTACAACTTTCCGTCATTAGGGGAGATGTTGCTGAGAAGCATGCATTACAGTTTGAGCTCCCCAGAGTTTATTCTGACTACAGTTCCAAGGAAGAAAGCCAGTGAGAGAACAGAGTGGTCTTATTTGTTTTATATTCCAGGTTTTACTGGGACTTCTTACTCATAGAATCCCTGGACTATGAAATATGAAGAGAGGGAAGAAGGGAGAGAAGGTTGTCCTGAGAAATTAATCACAAATGAAAACAACAACTCCAATGGGAAGATTTCTGAGAATAGCAAAACACCCTTGGCTTTCACTCATTAAAATCACAGTATTTGATCAGTTTCTACTAAGATAAACTAAATCTTGCTCTGCCTTAACTACAGCTGCTTCAAAAGAAAACTGTATATAACATCTCCTCTGTAATGCAGGTACTTCAAGTACACACACTTGTAACCAAGAAGCCATTTCTTTTCACTGTTACATGCATCGTAATATAAGGCTTTTCATTTCAGTTATATCAGCAAAGCTCTGCAAGCTTTAATGGCAACTATATACACAGCAATTCAGCATTTTAAAAGACGTATGAAAGTACAGTATCAAACTTTGGTTTTAATAGCACTAAAATTATGTTCGTGTAGAAGTACTAGCCTTTATGAGCGTAGGAACACACTTCTATACAGGGACTCTGGTTAGAGTCACTCTAAGGAAAAGCTATGAAGGACTGGCTAAGGAGTCAAATGGATGAGAACCCAGAACCAGCAATACTGAGCTTTGTGATCTCAGACAAGTTATCTGAACTTTCTGGGCCTCAGCTAACTCTCAGTGGTGTTAATGGGATTGCAAAGAACAAGGTTGCCATATGTTAATAGCACATATAACAGAGTCTGCTATGTAGACAGCACTCAATACATACTGGTTTTGATACCAGTGTCATCATTAAAGGATCCATATTCATGTGAGGAGTGATGGAAGGAGGCCAGTACTGGGATTAAAAAACAACAGGAGACAGTATTAGCTGTGACCTGCTGGCTCTGGTTTTGCTGACTACCTGTAAGCAAGTCTGTTAAGCTTTTTAAATATCACCTTCCACTGCTTTATTAAAAGGGATTGATTGAGTGAGCTGGTCCCCTAGTTCCCTTCAGAAGTCTAAACTTCTGTGGCTTGATTTAATCCTGCAGCAAATCCTTTTGCAAGGTAAGAACACTCATGCCCCTCAGTAGCATCATAGGGTTTAGGTTTCACTGCATTGGCAACCTGGAAGACACAGATGATCCTCAACATGGCGCAATTCACAGGGGCAGCAAGCCAACCATTTGGATTTAAGAAACAGGCAAGTCTATAATCTGTTCCCCAGTGTCATACTCAGCACTCTGATTCTGCTTAAGAGGTGTGTGTTGAACAGATGAATGACAGAGTAAGATAGCAAAAGGCCTAAAGAGCAGAGATTATCTCTAGGACTCGGTTTTCTATAATGTAACCTAAAGGGAAACAGAGGGCTCAGGAGTGAAGGCGGGGCTAGCATATATAGGGTTCGATTCTGAGCATTGGAAAAAAAAAGTCAAACATGAAAGAAAAAATGCTATTTAAAACCACAGGTGCCTACTGATGCATGCATCCTTTTAAGGAACAAAACCTCACTGCCAGGTCCCTGCTGTTCTGTGGGGCTGACTGTGTTGAAGGTCTCTGTACAGCTAAGACTCCTGATGTGCTTGAGCTGTGCACAGGTGCTTTAAGCCTCAGAATGGCGAGTTACATACTTTGACGAACAGAACTTAGGGATACTGGAGAGAGTAAGAGAGCAACTAGATGTTCTGAGGCCAAACACTTCATTCCTTGGTTGGTCAGTAAAGAACCCCGGAGGCAGGATGGCCCAGAGAATATTCCAGAAGAGGAAGACTCCTGTGCCACTTCGTTTGCTGCTGTACCCCATGATACTGTGCCTTTCCAGTCATTCTCCCAACTTCCTGGCTTGTGCTGTGAGTGTTTTTGTGATAGGCTGCACGGGAGCAGGGGAGCAGGGCCCACCCTCTTGCCAATCAGTTGAGGATTCTTTTGCTCAATATGAATGAAAATTGTGATCAGCAAAATACAGCTCTGCTAGTGGATTGAAGCCTTAGTTCTGGTTACAGCTCCGGGACTCAAAAATCCCTACAGCCCTCAGCACTTAGTGTCACAACTCTGGGGCTCCCAGGCACGTGTTACAGATTCCTACCCGTTGTTGGTGCCATTTGTTACCTGGTGCCACCACTGGAAGCCAGTCAGTGGCAGTCCCGCAAATTATTCAGAGCTGGCAGCCCCTAGTGTTTACAGCTCTTTTTAAGAGGCCCACTATGTGCACACTACCCTGAATAATGCAGAGTAGGATTACAGATATTCTGGGAACACTGGAGCAAGGGTTACCTGTTGTACAGCATCACAGGGAAATATCATCACACAAGTCCTAACCTTCCTAGACCAACTTGAGCAGGGGACCCTGAAAGCTATTTATGTAGCAGGAGCAAGCCTGTTATTGGTCCAAATTCAAGCCTGCTGATTGGTCTAGATTGGTCCAAACTCAAACCTTCTGAGGCTGAGGCAGAGGCAGCTTCTGGCGCCTAGGGGAGTTGCCCCTGTAGCTGTCAATCAAAGCGCACCACCTTCTGGCTGTCAGAGGGAAAAGAGCTTGACAGATTCTGCTGTGGCTCAGGACCATGCCTGGGACCAGCACGAGCAGGGCAGGGATAGAGGAACAGATGAAGACCCACAGAAGTAGAACGCCATCAAAAGAAGAAATGAGAGCCAGCAAACTGGCCCCCCATCCTCCGGCACCTAAGGATTGGAAAAGCCATCTTACTGGCGGTGGATGAGTGCAGGCTCACGGAGTCATAGGAGGCCAGGACCTTTCTGCCTTGTAAGGTCACCTGGGACCCTCACAAAATTAGATGGAACCTTTTATAAGATCCTTCAGGCTGGGAATCCGGGACCAGTTGGAAAGGGGATGAAGAGAGGAAAAGAAGGAACAGATGAATAAAGGGGGGGCCTTCAGAGGACTCTGAAGTAGTAACTGAGGAGACTAGGATGAGTGTGGCCTGGGATGATTGGCAGCCCTCTGAAACAGCAGTGAATCCAAAAGGAAACCCTCCCTTCCCTTTTCTGTGGGATTACAGCCCCCCCCAACAAGTTCTCTTAGTTCTTAAGATGCCCACAACTTGCCAACTTTTGTCCTGTTTCCAAGTCCTCCCTCCTTTTGTCTGACACTCCTGTCCCTGCTCGAAAACTTTCGATAGCTCCCCAGTGCCCTTTGTTTTGTT